TCAATGGTTAATTTCGAGTGTGATGGGTATGGTCCATTCCATTTTTCCAATCTATTTTTCACATTAAAAATCACCATGTTCCCACAGTAACAAATAATTATAGATTCTTTTCGTGTAACAATATTCATCAGTTTCATTTCATTTAATAATGTTCAGGGTCACCATGCCACCGGTCGGGCTTTGGTTTTCACAGCATTACTTCTGGCAGAACATCGTGACATCCAGGTATGCATACTCAATATCGATTGTTATAGCAGCCCCACAATTAGTGATATTAGAAAAAGTAAATGATAGCTGTAAAATAATGTCTTCGAAGAGATAAACTCCTGAATAATTATTGATTTACCAGCAATTATAGATTTGACTTGAGGCGCTCTACCACTCCATCGATAAGATCGTCAGTAATATCAATCATTCCATGAGTACATAAATTTCTCATTTTCCACATTCGTTTGACAACATACAGTAGGCATGCCCCCTCCCGCCACAATGGCATCAATTACAATACTCATTCACATTGGTAATTGGAAGATGTTTTCTAACTGGAGTTCCTCTAATTTCTTGGCAAAGGGATAACTTTCTTGGAAAAGTTAGGGATAATAGACATGAAGGCATTACACTGGTCCAGATCATTGGCACTAATCGTGCAAACTTTTGGATGATGGTACTCCCGAATCCCCGAAAGTGTAAATTTGAATAACGAGCTTCCATTAATTTTTTCATAATTAATGTGATCCATACAGAACCAACTATTTAAACCTTTCAGGATAGCCAAGTATTTCGTTCAAGTTGGCAACTTTTTTGACCCTAGATTGATCACCCTATGAGGAAAACCCCGCCACGCGTCGGTTTTCTTTAATTACAATTGACTGGCTGAGCGGAAAAATTGAATAAAAATTGTCTTTGCTAATTGAAGGGTCTAAAAAACTATAGTAGTTTCTAGAACGACATATTTCCCAAAATTTCTAAAGAAAACAAATTATTTCGGATAGATGAATTATTTTTTCCCATCTTAACTAAAATTGCCCATGACGCGACGTTGCCGGAAACTCTCTCAACGCGCCGGGCCAGTGTAGAGTGAATTCGGCAACGCTAAAGCCTAAATAACACGACGGCAAATCCCTACGGAGGTGACCAAAGTCGCAGGGTCGCGTTTCGTGACCAGACTTGGGTTAGAGCAAGATTTCAGTTTTGCCGAAGTTTTGCCGAAGCAATCTGACAGTCCATTCAACCATTTATTCGAAAAAATTCCTATGAAAATCATATTTTTCGATAAATAGGGTTCTTACGTTAGTAGATGTGTAGGACGGGTTCTGGCCCAACCATTTTTGGGAAGGGTCAGAAAGGTCTGAGGATGCGCCGCGAGTGGGTGGTGGGATGGGATTAATTAATTCGCGCTTTAATTCGCGGTTTTGATTCGCGGTTTTAATTCGCGGTTTTAATTNGTTTTAGGAATAACTAAATGAAGCGTTTCCTTGACACATTTTTTTTTTAAACATTTGGGTTTTTTAAAAAGATCAAATTATTCATTCGCCCCTGTTTCAAGTCCAAAAATTCATTGCCTAATTTACGGGTGATCGGTTCAAAGGCACGTTGCAGAGAAGAAGTAATGGAAGTCATGAAAGGGAGCGTCAATGGAAAACTGGATATGAGAAATGTGCAGAAGCTCAATTACCTTGATCGATGCATCAAAGAGTCCTTGCGACTGTATCCAAGTGTGCCTTGTTTCAGTCGGAGAATAACCGAAGACATAAAACTAAGTAATTTTTCTGTTTTACTTTAATAAGTTTTTATAAAATTCAATACGACATGTAGCAAGTTAGTGATTGAATCAGGCTCAGTGCAACTTTTTGAACTTTTTGACATCAAAAAACAATTACAAACAAATGGCAACAAAAAACAATACAATTAATTATAATTTTCATTTTTTGTCCAGAAACTTGTTTCATACCTGAAGGATCTACGATTAATATTGGAACTTTTGACACTCATCGAGATCCGCATTACTGGCCTCGTCCAAATGTGTTTGATCCTGATAGATTCTTACCAGAAAATTCAGCGGAACGACATCCATTTGCTTATACACCATTTAGTGCTGGAACAAGGAATTGCATCGGTAATTGGATCAACTATTTTCATAATGATTATGCAATGAACTTATTCAAAGAAAATTCATTTCTCCATTGGAACAATATCTCGTAAATGAAAAAACCATTATACGTAAGGGATGCCTTTCATTTACAGGGAAACACTTCGCCTTGTTGGAATTGAAGACAACATTAGCAGGATTACTCCGCAATTTTTACCTTGAACCAATGGAGTTGGCAGGCAGTGTTCGAATGGTGCCAGATTTATCGTTAAATTGTATAGGCGAAGTGCCTCTCAAATTTATTCCTATTCGTAATGAATGATTTTTCATCGCATCTGCACGGAAAGTTCGATTATCCTCTCCAAATGACGCGGTCTAAGTGGCTAATTTCATTCCTTGGAATTCCGTTGTTTTCGACGATCCTCGAACTGACGTAACCCACGTTCCTCCGTTCATTTACGGAGAAAAAGCGAACTTTACCATGCAGTTATGCCGAAAAAATGGTATATGCACCTAAGAAGCAAATCAGGATAGTAAAAGCTACGTGTTTACTGACCTCGGCTTTGCCTGTTTTCCTTCCTTGGTACACAATATACTATTCTGAGTACCATTAATGATTTGGAGCAATGTATTGCTCCAACGGTCATCCAACCTGAGCACTCACATGGTATGCCTGTTTATTTTTCGTTTTCTTATTGATTTTGTTTCAAAAAGAAATTATTCATCAACGTTCTTATTGTATTGAATGTTAAAGTTAATGAAAATAATGCGTCTCCTTTTATCACATGTTCAATTTCAATGTTGCAATGCCCCATTCACTAATTCTGAATTTCTGTGCTCACTGATCAAGATTTTAATTCTAATTATAATCCAAATACTATTTCAAGTGAAAAACAATGATTGAGAAATTTATTGCAGCCCTGAATTTTATAGTCTTCGCCTCCCCCTTCATTCCCTTTTACTCTTCCATAGAAGCTTTCAATTATTTATCATATTGAAGAGGGAAAAAATGGGACCGGTGAAAAGTGATGAATTCTAAACACAAATTAAACTTGTGCGTGCGTGAAATGGGAAGGTTGAGTAATCAACATTCTACAGTTGCTACCAATTAGTTTTTCAAATTACAGAGGTTATCACTTATTATTAAAGGAGGGCTGATGAAAATTTACTGAATGGCAAACTAAAATTTCACAAGGGCCTGCCTGTTTTTCGCCTCTATTTCCATCAAAATAACTGCTCACTTTCGTAAGTGCATACTGTCCCACCGCATGAAGGGAACCATTCCCCCACTAGTGCAATTTCCTTCTATGACCGTTTTCTTTCTAACTTCTTTTGCTCTATCTTTCTCTAACACGCGAGGACTGTGCGCAACAGTCCGCCCAGTGGTTCGTATCCCCACCATTGCCTCCACACGCATCTCTTTTTGACTCCGCACTCTCGCTCTTTTTCTGGTGGAGAAGGGTCCTTTCGTAATCGCAAATTCCGAGAATCCAAACCACCGGAGGCGTGCACGGAGAAAAATTTTTGATGAAAATTATCCTACCGTTCTATAAAAGTGTATCACGAGACATCGTTTTCTCATTTCTATCCCGAAATTTAGTAAAAATTAAGATATGATGATAAAATTTTAGACTGTCTAGCAACTAGCCACATTTCACCTGGCCACGGAACGTTTTTACACAAGGGAAACAAACACAGACGGGTTTTCTACATTTTCAAAATTGGCATGCGACTGTGTTCCGTCGCGGAATTGTTCATCGTATTGGGAAATTTTCCATCGGGAAAAACCCAGCCTTTTCGCAGAATTACTTGTGTAAATTATTTTATTATTGAACTCATCGTCACGCCCATTGCAACGTTTAAATTTTAATCCTTCTTTTATTCCAAAATATTTCTACTTGACCGTCATAAAAATCGTAATTTCCTAAATCTCTTCGTCCCAAATATTATTTCGTTTATTATAGAAAGGGAATTACTTTATAGTAGGAGATTTTTAATCCTCAAATGTATTTGAAATTTGAAAGGCCTTTTGTTATTATTCGTACCTCGGAAAACCTACATAATTATTCTATCCACTTATTACGGTCAGTTATTGCCTCTTTCGTTTAGACCTCGAGAAAATAAGTCTTAATGAGAGACTCTCGGGTCATTTATGACTTTATTGCGGTCACTCAGCCCCTTCAGGCCCACACATTTCCCAAACATTTGGTGCCCATTTCCCCTTCCACTCTCCATTCTACCCACTCCACCCTTCAAAATAGATAAACCAATGAAATTATCCTTACACTTTCCTTGACCAATAAGAACCTATTAATTTTTTGGTTCAGTCCGTGCGAAATTTTAGCATAAAACTTGAAACTTTTCTCCACAATATACAGTATCGAAGTATTAATCTATCGTTTCGCATCGTTACAACTTCAACTCATTTTTTGTGTCCGCCGGTCTATTCTAGTATTGTCTAGCTAAAATACCGTGACAAATAACTTTTACATTCACACCCTTTTCGCGAGTTAATACCAAGTTCACAGTCTATATTTGTATTTTTTTTATCAAAGAATAGTGTTAAGTGTATTTTTAAAAATTGTGAAAATATAGGAAAAATTAATTTAAAGTGATTTGTGTTAGTTTTTTTGTGTTTATACCATTATTGACTAATAGACATTTCCAACGGTTTGTGTTAATCATAATTTTTTACCAAACCATAACATAATTGGTCCTTCGAGCCGGATATGTGAACAAGTAATTCGGGAGTGTGTGAACTTTTTTACAGTTAATATCTATGGTGATATTAATTTTTGATTTTGACTCACTTTATTTTTGAACTTTGACTTTTTACTGGCATATCGTTGCCAACAAACATTGACTATTTTACTTACCAGCTTCAGTGGTTGTATTGTGAAGTGAATTCAATATGGCGAATGAAGCCCGACTCACCACGCTCAGACGTCAGCGTGGCAACATTCAAGCATCAATAACGATGTTCAAGGCAACTTTGGATACATACATGTCATTGCCCATCGAAGAACGTATTCCGGAGAGACTCCAGGTCGCATTGGACGGGATGAAACAACGTTTTCAACGCTTTGAAGAAATCCAAGAGGAGCTAGAAGAAGCGGACGAAGAAACCGAGAGCCCCAAACGTTTGGAGATTCTATCAAGGTATGAACAAGCTGTTGGTGATGCCCTTCATCATCTTTCACCCTTACGAACAGTAGCCGCTTCTCCACAAGGAAATGGTAATACAGTGCAGTGTGGTGACACAACGAACGCAGCTGCATCATTACTTTCGCTCATACGTTTGCCGGAACTTGACATTGCAAAGTTCGACGGATCATATGAGAGTTACCATCCATTTTGGGACAGCTACAACTGCAACATTGGACAGAGGACTGATTTATCCAAAGTTCAGAAACTCCAATATCTTCGGAGTCTTTTAACGGGGAGAGCTGCCAAGGCTATTGAATCGTTGTCAAACACTGAGGAGAATTATGACACCGCCTTGGACATCATCCAGAAGAAGTTCGATCGCACACGGAAAATCATCTGTAGACACTGGGAACTGCTGCATGAGTATCCAGCTCTATCAAAAGACACCAGAGGCACTTGGACATCTAGTCGACACGGTTTATCAGCATACTAGAGCGCTGAAAAACCTCAAACAACCGGTAGAGCATTGGGATCTGCCACTGATTCACTTGATCCAGTCAAAAATCAGCCCAGAAACAACTTATCTCTGGGAATTGAAGATCAAGGACTCCAATCTTCCTCAATACACAAGCCTGCTGGAATTCTTGGAAAATCGTTCGCAATGCTCATCAGTGTCTACTTCGTTCTCACGTGATGAAAAATCCAATCGTCATCGTGGAAAGAGACAAGCCTTCGTGACTACTAGCACATCAACAGTCGTTTCATGCGCCATGTGCAAGGAAAATCACAGCATCATGAGGTGTCCAAATTTTAAAAATCTTTCGCCAGTGGATCAATATAAAGAAGCGAAAAAACTCTCACTCTGCCTCAATTGTCTCAAGCCAGGCCACGGTGTCAATGCCTGCAACTCCAGAAACTGTCCACGGTGCCAAAAACCTCGCAACTCTCTTCTACATCGGTCAGATCTATCAACGAACGTTCAACCAGCCACTGCTACAGGGACAACGCCCATCAACAACTCCTGACTAAGCCAAGAGCAGAGCCCAGCTGAATCACCGAACCACACGACACTGATCGTCAACTCATCAACTTGTGATTTAATGGTAACTGCTAAACTCAAGGTATTAAATATCAATAACTCGCTCATCGATTGTCGCGCATTGTTGGATACATGTTCAACAACGAATTTTATTACGGAGAGTTTAGCAACGTCGCTTGGATTGCCAAAAAGATATTTTTCAACCGCAGTTGGCGCTCTGAATACAATAACGACTACAACAAAACATCTCGTAACTGCCACTATACGTTCGCGAATCAACAACGAGGAACGGACAATTATATTCTTGACGGTCCCCAGTATTTCGACAATGGTGCCGGGCCAACCACTTGACAGGGATAAAATAGAAATTCCCTCTAATTTGAGACTCGCCGATCCAGAATTTCATCTACCAGCTCCCATTGACATGTTACTTGGAACTGGGACTACACTTTCGTTTCTCGGACCCGCGAAAAAACGAATTTCTGCTGAAAATCAACATGATTTATTCCTTTTACAAACTTCTCTTGGTTGGGTTATTGGAGGGGGAGCTCCTACATCTAAACACACTCGGCAACGTTCCTGTCATCTCATTAACACGGACTCTTTGGGGTTTGAATTGACTAAATTCTGGGAAATAGAGGACACCGCAGGAAAACCTCGTTCCAATGACGTTAAAACAGCGTTTGAACGACACTTCAAGGAGCACGTGACTAGAGACATGACAGGAAGATACATCGTGGCTCTTCCCTTCAATAATAATATCTCTCAACTGGGGATATCGCGATCGCGGGCTTACAATCGGTTCAAATCTAGCGAGAAAAAATTCCATCAAAACCCTCAACTTGCTGAGCAATACAAGACAGTCATTCAAGAGTACATTGATCTTGGGCATATGACTGAAATTAATACATCGAAATTAGCTAATCACGGGTACTATTTACTCCACCATGCGGTATTCAAAGAAGGCAGCTTAACAACAAAACTGAGAGTTGTCTTTGATGGATCCGCCAAAACCAACACCGGGGTGTCCTTGAACGATACACTCCACGTAGGTCCTATAATTCAAGACGATATTTTTTCTTTGTTATCGAGATTTCGTTTATACCAGTACGTTCTGACGGGCGACATCGAGGAAATGTATCGACAAATTCTCGTGCGTCCGGAAGATCGTAAATACCAACGCATTCTGTGGCGCGATGATGACGGACCTGTGAGAACCTACGAACTCAACACCGTGACATTTGGATTGTCAGCAGCACCATACCTCGCAATCAGATGTCTTCATCAGCTAGCAGACGACGAACAACATCGTTATCCTACTGGAGCTGCTATCCTGAAGAGAGATCTGTACGTAGATGATCTTCTCACAGGAGCACAAACACGTGAAGAAGCCATTACCATTCACCATGAACTCGAAAAATTGATGAAATTGGGCTGTTTCAATCTTCGACAGTGGGCATCGAATGACCCCACATTGCTTCAAGAACTCGACTCGGAAGATATCAACAAACACCTACAACTCGGAGATTCGACAACACTTAAAACATTGGGCATTTCGTGGGACTCTGCTGCTGATAAAATCAAATACTTCGTTAAAATCGCTCCAAATATTGATCCAATTACAAAGAGAGTCATCTTATCAGAAACTGCAAAATTATTTGATCCATTGGGCCTCCTATCACCAGTAGTAATTGTTGCCAAGGCTTTCATACAAAAGTTGTGGACATTGAATGTACACTGGGACACCGTTTTACCATTAGATTTGCAGAAAGAATGGCTACAATTCTACAAACAACTACCAACACTCGAGCAAGCAACATTCCCATGAGGAGCCTTGATACCAGGGGCCACCAATGTCCAACTTCATGGGTTTTGTGATGCTAGCAAAATGGCATATGGAGCCTGTCTATACCTCCGTTCAGTCGACAAACATGGGAATATACACGTGTACTTGCTTTGCTCGAAATCTCGCGTTGCTCCTTTGAAAGAGCAAACCATTCCACGCCTCGAATTGTGCGGGGCTCAATTCTTAACATCACTCGTGGGAAACATTCAGGCAGCCATTCACCACAACATTGATAAAATATTCTACTGGACAGACTCCACAGTGGTGTTACATTGGTTAAACACACCACCCCATAAACTTCAAGTTTTCGTCAGCAATAGAGTAGCAGATATTCAACAAAAAACAAACATTCAGGACTGGAAGCACGTACGAATCCACGACAACCCAGCTGATCTCGTGGCTCGTGGGCAAACACCATTTGAGTTTATAAAACCTTCGCTTTGGTTTTCTGGTCCATCATGGCTTCATCTAAACGAAAATGAATGGCCCAATCTTCAACTGGAGTTTTCATCGTGTGTACCTGATCTACGAAAATCACCAGCAGCCACGATGGAAACCTGCTTAGCCTCAACAACTAATTCCAAACACCTTGATATTTGGTCATCATCAATCGATAAATTACAACGGGTTGCTGCTTATTGTCTGAGATTCAGAACTCGTCGCAAGGGTCCACTAGTACTTGATGAACTTCAAGCTGCTCTCCACGCTATTGTACACTGGGTACAATTAGAAAACTTCGCCAGAGCCATCAAGGAGCTGCAACACCCACATTCAGCTGGAAACAAGTCATCAGAATTGTCGAGATTTGCTAAATTGACCCCATTCATTGACAAGGATGGACTATTACGAGTAGGGGGCCGGTTGACAAATGCAAACATATCATATTGTCAACGTCATCCTCTCATCCTTCCAAGAAGACATCCAGTGACGGATCATATCATCAGGAATGAGCACCAGCTACAGCTACATGCCGGTGCTCAAGCTACACTTTATGCTATTCGCCGTGGTTTTTGGCTATTGGATGGACGTCAGTCAGTTCGGCGCATCGTGCGTTCCTGTGTCAAATGCATCAGGCACAAACCACCATCAATAGATTACGTGATGGGTAACCTACCTGAGGCTCGAGTCATCGAGTCTCGCCCATTTACAAACGCCGTATATTGCTGTTTTCGTGTGTCTTGCAGTCAAGGCAGTCCACTTAGAGGTCGTGAGTGACCTCACCACGGAAGGTTTTCTCGCCGCCCTACGGCGCTTCATCGCTCGACGGGGAGTCTGCAGCAACATTTATTCAGACAATGGCACAAATTTCGTCGGTGCCAAAAGTGAGCTGAAGGAAATCCACAATTTCTTACAAAATGAAGATCAACAGCAAAAAATTATTCATTTTGCTACCTCCAAGGAAATTCGCTGGCACTTCATCCCAGCACATTCTCCAAACCTTGGTGGACTCTGGGAAGCTGCGGTCAAATCCTTCAAGCACCACCTGCGAAGGATCGTGACCAATGAATTACTCACATTCGAAGAGTTGAACACATTGGTCATCGAGATTGAGGCCGTACTAAATTCACGACCTCTCACACCTCTCTCAACAGATCCAAATGATCCAATCGCCTTAACACCTGGCCACTTCTTGATTGGTGACTCTTTGACAAATCTCAGGGGTCCAGACTTTCGAGACACTCCAACCAACCGCCTGTTCAGCTGGCAACACCTTCAAAAGCTGAAACAGGATTTTTGGGCTCGCTGGCATCGAGAGTACATCAGCGGGCTCAATATTAAATCCAAATGGACTCATATCAAAGAAGGAGGGAGCACCATATCAAAGAAGGTACTGTCGTCATCATGAAGGAGGACAACTTACCTCCAATGCAATGGGCATTGGGCAAGGTCATCAAAACACACGCTGGAGCTGATGGCATCATCCGAGCAGTTACGGTAAAAACTGCTAAAGGAACCTACGAATGTGAGGAAGCTGGCTCCACTACCCAATACTGATGATTCTACATGTTGATCATACTTCTCAACAGGGGAGTATGTTCCGTCGCGGAATTGTTCATCGTATTGGGAAATTTTCCATCGGGAAAAACCCAGCCTTTTCGCAGAATTACTTAAGTAAATTATTTTATTATTGAACTCATCGTCACGCCCATTGCAACGTTTAAATTTTAATCCTTCTTTTATTCCAAAATATTTCTACTTGACCGTCATAAAAATCGTAATTTCCTAAATCTCTTCGTCCCAAATATTATTTCGTTTATTATAGAAAGGGAATTACTTTATAGTAGGAGATTTTTAATCCTCAAATGTATTTGAAATTTGAAAGGCCTTTTGTTATTATTCGTACCTCGGAAAACCTACATAATTATTCTATCCACTTATTACGGTCATTTATTGCCTCTTTCGTTTAGACCTCGAGAAAATAAGTCTTAATGAGAGACTCTCGGGTCATTTATGACTTTATTGCGGTCACTCAGCCCCTTCAGGCCCACACATTTCCCAAACATTTGGTGCCCCATTCCCCTTCCACTCTCCATTCTACCCACTCCACCCTTCAAAATAGATAAACCAAAGAAATTATCCTTACACTTTCTTTGACCAATAAGAACCTATTAATTTTTTGGTTCAGTCTAGTCAAGTTTAGCATAAAACTTGACACTTTTCTCCACAATATACAGTATCGAAGTATTAATCTATCGTTTCACATCGTTACAACTTCAACTCATTTTTTGTGTCCGCCGGTCTATTCTAGTATTGTCTAGCTAAAATACCGTGACAAATAACTTTTTACATTCACACCCTTTTCGCGAGTTAATACTAAGTTTACAGTCCATATTTGTATTTTTTTATCAAAGAATAATATTAAGTGTATTTTTAAAAATTGTGAAAATATAGGGAAAATTAATTTAAAGTGATTTGTGTTAGTTTTTTTNTTTTCGCGAGTTAATACCAAGTTCACAGTCCATATTTGTATTTTTTTTATCAAAGAATAGTGTTAAGTGTATTTTTAAAAATTGTGAAAATATAGGAAAAATTAATTTAAAGTGATTTGTGTTAGTTTTTTTGTGTTTATACCATTATTGACTAATAGACATTTCCAACGGTTTGTGTTAATCATAATTTTTTACCAAACCATAACAGACTGTGTAAGACTTGTCTGAGAATAAATTTGATATCATGATCTGCGTTTACAACGATAAGTCGATTACACATACTGTTGATGAGTTGAAGCAATTATTTATGCAAGCTGCTCCTGTTCGTTGTTTATTGGTAAAAATTTGTAGAATAATGTTAATTCGAGGAATACACAGCCAAGTTTTGCACTTGGAAATAAGCACCACCAAGACTGACACGTGATTGATTGACTCATAAAGCAGTTCAGTGGCTAGTCAATCAAATAATGAGTACATCAAGTTTGAAATATGTAGAAATAATCTCATTCATGGGAATATTTTTTTTTTTTCAATAGTATCAATGCGCACACTTGTATTTCTGTGAGAGATTTTCAAGAGCTGTATCAAATACTAATGTGTACGATTCAATGGAATTATCTTTCATTTTGTACACAATCAGATATTCAATTCTATATTCTTATNTAAAAATTTGTAGAATAATGTTAATTTGAGGAATACACAGCCAAGTTTTGCACTTGGAAATAAGCACCACCAAGACTGAGACGTGATTGATTGACTCATAAAGCAGTTCAGTGGCTAGTCAATCAAATAATGAGTACATCAAGTTTGAAATATGTAGAAATAATCTCATTCATGGGAATATTTTTTTTTTTTCAATAGTATCAATGCGCACACTTGTATTTCTGTGAGAGATTTTCAAGAGCTGTATCAAATACTAATGTGTACGATTCAATGGAATTATCTTTCATTTTGTACACAATCAGATATTCAATTCTATATTCTTATTCCATTTGCGCATTGATTTCACGAATGAACGCAACACATTCAACACCATTGATACTGACACACTACCTTCAATCACGGTTTATATCGACACACGGTATTCTGACACTTTACTATCTATAGTATAATTGATGCTATGTTCATGACAATGATAACTCACGGAGAGGGTTCTTACACATTTTACATCGCAGTATACACTGTGCAAAATATGCCATAGTCCGTAAGAATAAGTTGATGATAAATCAACTGAAATTCTACACAGTGTTAATTATCCTTCTCAAACTTACACAATGACATTCTGCACATCGTCCAATTTCCATCCAATTGTGCAAAATAAATGCGATGAGGAAACCATGATAAGGAAGGGATGAGGGTTGAATTTTTTACCCAACAAGGTGAGGGGGGAGCAGAATTTATTCTAGCCACTCACCCCTTCGTTTGTATGCGTTGTTTAAATCAAAAATGCAATTGTTAATTGAACAAAAAAATTCTCGAAAATTACGACTTCCCGAGAGAGTGGAGGGGAGACGCATATATGCTGGGGGGGGTGAAGTTATTACTGAGGGCCAGTTTTTTGGTTAAACTAACCCTGGTTAACTCGTAATTAAAGTTAAATCCAGCCCCTCCACCACTGTCATTCCAGCTGTGGTTAAAAATGGCGGCGCCTATGTTTACGAGAGGGACTGGTTAAAATTCAAAAATATTGTACATGTCCGCCATTTTCCTTCACACTCATGACAGTAGCTCTAGGGGAAATAATTCCCCTCACGTGGGGAACGTAGTGGGGGGTTGGATTTAACTTTAACCACGAGTTAACCATGGTTAGTTTAACCAAAAAACTGGCCCTGATTATATTCTAGCCACTGTCATCCACAAAACAATTCTCAAAAATCGTAACTTCGCGAGAGGTTAGAGAGGGGAAGCATGTATGTGGAGGGTTGAAAATTTTGCCTAACAAAAGAAGGGGGTTGCAGAATCTATTCTAGCCATCCTCATCTCACCATTTGCCTGCATTGTTTAAATAAAAAATAAAATGGTTAATAAATAATAAAATCGTAATTTCTGAAAAAAAAATCCCAAAATTGGGATTTTCCGAGGGGCGAAGGGGGGAGGCATGTATGCAACCTCCTCCCATTGTTGGGTACAATTTTCAACCCTCTGCATACATGCCTCACCCCTTCACTCCCTCCTGGAGTCTCAAATTTCGAAATTTTTTTCATTCAACATTTGCAATTTTTTATTTACAACGACGTATAGAAACGGAGGGATGAGGCTGACTAGAATGAATTCTGCAACCGTCACTCCTTGATGAGTAAAAATTTTAACCTTTCCAATACATGCCCCCGGCCTGCCCCTCGTGGAATCCCATTTTTCGGAATTTGTGTTCAAAAATTGAATTATTTTATTTTTGATTTAAACAACGCATGTAGCCGGAGGGATGAGGGTGGCTAGAATAGATTTTGCAACCCCCTCACCTCGTTGGATAAAAATTTCAACTCTCCCCTCCTTATCATTCTTTCCTCATCGCATTTGTTTTGTATAATTGGATGCAAATTGAACGATATGCCGAGTGTCATTGTGTAAGTCTGAGAAGAATAATTAACACTGTGTAGAATTTCAGTTGATTTGTCATCAACTAGTTCTTACGGATTGTGGCATATTTTGCACTACTGCGACGTAAAATGTCTACGAACCCTCTCCATGAGTTATCATTGTGATGAACATCATTAGATCGTTCAATTATACTGTAGACAGTAAAGTATCAGAACACCGTATGTCGAAATAAACCGTGATTGAACGTACTGTGTCAGTATCAGTGGTGTTGAACGTGTTGTGTTCATTCGTGAAATCAATGCGCAAATAGAATAAGAATATAGAATTGAATATCTGATAGTGTACAAAATGAAAGATAATTCATTGAGTCATACACATTAAAATTTGATACATGTCTTGAAAATCTCTCACAGAAATAGAAGTGTGCGTATTGATACTATTGAGACAAAAACATTCCCATGAATGAGATTATTTCTACATATTTCAAACTTAATGTATTAATTATTTCATTGAATAACCACCGAACTGCTTTATGAGTCAATCAATCACATGTCAATCTTGGTGGAGCTCGTTTCCAAGCGCAAAACTTGGCTGTGTATTCCTCGAATTAACATTATTACTCTACAAATTTTTGCCAATAAACAACGAACAGGAGCAGCTTACATAAATAATTGCTTCAACTCATTATCAACAGTGTGTATAGTCGACTCATCGTTGTAAACGCAGCTAATAATATCAAATTCATTCTCAGACAATTCTCACACAGTCGCATGTCAATTTTGAAAATGTAGAAAAACCCGCCTGTGCTTATTTCCATTGTGTAAGAACGCTCCGTAGCCAGATGAAATGTGGCCAGTTGCTAGACAGCCGAGAGGAGAAAATAGGATATACTTTGGTAACACCAAAGGAATGATAAACTAAAAAAAATTATTCCTTCATGGAATCAGAATATTGTGATAACAGGAAAATGTTAAATAATAAATTCAATTAATAATTAAATGTGTGACCATCGATTTGCTTGTTTCCAATAAAATAATATCCTATTTTTGTTTTTGGATTTTTGCCCTTTAAAGCACTGCATCTGAATTTATATTTATACATTTGGATAACAATAACAGTAATATTAAAACACAGTCATGATGGAAAATGGCAAGAATTGAAATTCGTACATTATTAATTATCAATTTATTACCAATAGTGAAAGCTTCTTAAAAACAAGAACGTAAACCCAAAGAGAACTCGATCGAAGGGAAATTCTAATCTATTGATTAGTAGATTTGACTTGATAAATTTGATAATAGTAAAGGGCCAAACGAAATGAATTGTCTGACAAATTTGATACCAAGAGAATTAATGCAATGTCGTTTTCCAAATAGTGAGTACACGTGGCTGCTACTGCTTGAACCCGGCCTGGTAACGCTCGGCGAATTTGAAATTTGGTTGCTGAGTTCATGGCCTCGTTCGTTGGTTTGACGCCTGTGATGGTGACTGTCGTATCCTTCTGGTTCAGATGCTGGTAGTGCTACA